ATCTTCGATGGTAAATATATTTTTTAAAATGTCTGTATAACGACTCTGAAGATGGCACATATGAGCTGAAAGCTTAGATCAAGGAACAGCTTAATAAAACTATATCCAAATGTTGGAAATTTTTTTCTTTATTTTCACCCAAAATTTAAGTAAACATACAAACATTAAAACAGCTCAAGAGCAGTCATAATAGACCTTCATTGTCTGTTATATTTAACAATATATATATTGCCACAATACACTATATATATATATATATATAAACCATGCAGTACATAATCTTAGCATTTTTCACTTCATACGTAAAAATTTAATTTTCAGATAAACACAATTTTGTCTTAGGAAAATGATGAACGCAACAATCTTTTTTGTCTTAGAAAAAACAAGAGACCTGATGATGACATTGTGCTAATGTCAAAAGTACTTAGAATAAAATGAATATGCATCAATATGGTAATTTTCTTTCTTCCTTTAATACGGGTACTAAGAAACTTGTCCGTAATTACGTGAAGATCCTATTAAAAATAAGTAGACAAAACTTGTTGAAATTATTTAATGAGACATGTCTTAATGAAGACATGCTGCCAAAATAAATGCAATATATATATATTCACCATCTTCTGTCTTCCTGATACATGTTCTTTTATTGTCCTTTCTCCTCACTAAAGTCTTCTCATTCTCTTTCATTCCCAATAACCCTTTGCATCTTAGTGGCATTATTGCCATCTTCTGTCTTCCTGAAACCTTTTCTTTTATTGTCCCTTCTCCTCACTAAAGTCTTCACATTCTCTTTCACTCCCAATAACCCTTTGTGTCTTAGCATTATTATCACCTTGCTTGGGTGAAATAATTTAAAAAATTGTAAGGTTGTCTCTGTGTCTTTTCTATAAATACTTTCATGGTAATTCTTTGGATGGGCTCTTCGCTATGGTTCCTGGACTTCGTGGATTTTAAGCACAGTACTAGACTGGCATCAAGATCTCATCAATTGACAGTTGAGCTGGCTAGATAAAGCCATAAATTCTATGCTAACAGTTCTTTATTCATACTTCTCACTTGTAGAACTCTCTTCTGGCTCTGTGCTTTATACCCAACTTTAATCTTCAAAAATTTAAATGCAATGTCAATCATTATCTACTGCCCTCCTGATTGCTCTTTTCTCTTTTTATTCATTACTAATGCTTCTGTTCCTAATTCCTCTACACCCTGTAACTCCTTGTGTCTTAGTGGCTTTATTGCCTTGCTTGGGGGTGATTCCAATTAAAAAAATTATATATCATAGTTAAAAGCTCCAAATATTTTTTTAAACTTTTATGATGCCTTTTGGTTATTAAAATAAAATGATATAGTTTGTAATAATATAGTTTTAATATTGATTGTATTGACCCAGAAGATCATGTTAAAATACGACAATAATAATACAACTAAATAAAACTTAACTCTGCATATCTTATGTAATGTCAACGAATACTTGTTGCCACTTTTGTAATGCTCGTTGCAGTAGAGACTTTGTAATCACAGATACAACAATAGTAACATCGTTGAACAATACTGGTGTCAGACACCTTCGAATAACACTTGCACTAATAGTACTTGCTCAATAATACTCGCTCAAAAAGTATCCACTGAATAGTAATCCATATAGTGATCACTTAGACGCCACACTAATTCCCATATATATATTTCCTTTATCATCACATAATCTACTAATTCAAAATGGGATCGCCTGGTGATCTGTGTTCAAACTCCAGTATTGGCAGTGACACTTTTTTCCTATATAACAATATCCCAAATTGAAGAGGTTCATGGGTTGAAGTTGTTTTGTTTTGTTATTCTTTATTTAGATTTTACTTTTAGTGAGGGCACCATTCTCAAAATGCAGGGTTCATGTTTTTCTGTCCAGAGTTTGTAACTCCTCTTTGGACACCCAACAAGTTCTATCTTACAACAGATACAGGCATTAATGGCAGTTATAAAGCAGCAGGCATTTAACTTAGACATCAGAAGAAGCTGAAACTTTTCATGTATGTCACTGTAATCAGTTCTTTAATTTTTTTATGAATTCTACAAACCGAATATGCTCACTCAATAAGTTTTCTCCTCCCATCATTTTTCTCAATCCATCACTTTTCTCACCCATACGCAGCCTGTGAAAGGTGTAGACAAAAAAAAAAGAAGACAAATAAAAACACATGGTCTGATGATTGCTGTACATCAGAAAGAGAAATTTCTTGGGCACATAATGAGGGCTTAGATGTTACAACAGGAATTGGGAGGGATGTTAAAAAGACAAACATTGCTAAGAGTAGCATAAGACGTTGTGGAGAGCCATGATCACTCATGTCCTGAAAGGATACAGTAGAAAAAAGAAATTGTACATTTAGTGATGGCCCATTTCACTTACCCTACATTGTTTACATCTACAAAGGATAGGAAAATTGTGGAGAGCCATAACCAACAACATCCCAAAGAAGAATTCTGAAGAAAAATAACCAAGAAACTATGTACTTACAAATTCTTCTAATTCTCCTCCAGGAAGTCGCATCAGGTTAGTTTGGTCGTTAATAAAAGTTACCAATTCCATGACATCAAGAATTCCTCCATACTATAATTAAATCAAAAATCATTCATTTTATTATTGCCAAAAATTACAAAATACAAAGTAGAACCAATATAGGCATACAATTATTACATAACTAGCTTAAAAAGCTGCATTCCATGTGGTTTTTAAGGTAGCTATTATGGAGGGGGCTAAGTAGGCCCCTAGCCCAAAACTAAAGGGACATCACTCTGGTTCAGCTGAGAAAACAGTAATCATGATTTTAAAAAAATCCCTTTGATTTATTCAGTCCATTCTATGGAAGTTCAAATCCTAACTTTAACTCTGATTCAGGCTATAAGTCCAATTGTGGCCCAAAACCAATTTAGGCCTGAAGACCAATTTGGGCCAAAACTCCAATTTGGTCCAAAATTCCAATTCAAGCTGAAAATTGAGTTCTTCAAATCACAAACTCTGTAGAATTTCAAAAAACCTCTCACTTTAACTTCGATTCATTGGCATTTGGAAGAAATAAAATTGATTTCCTCAGTTCATAAAGTTTTGGATATTTTAAAATAAATTTAAAACAAACATTTTTAAATTCACAAAAGTTTTGTGTTACTTTAAACTCAATATAAATTAAAAACTTTTAAAATCACTATTTTTTCAATTATTTTAAAATTTGAATTTTTAACAACTCCTTTCTCATCTGGACACAAATCCCAATACTGGATGTTCCAGCACCAGATGAAGGACAGATTTTCAGTCCTGGGATCATCCTGATTCCAAAAAAGGTAGAATATGTCTCTGTAGAGCAATAACAAAAGAAGAGTAATGAGGAGGGACAGTAGATAGCGATTGACATTGCATTTCAATTTTTAAAGATTAAATTTGACTGAAAAGCATGGAGCCGGAAGGGAGTTCCACAAGCAAGAAGTGCGAGAAAAGAAACTGTTAGCATAGAACTTATGGCTACATCTAGCTAACTCAACTGTAAATTGGTGAGATCTCATCGCAAGTTTAGTACTGTGCTTAAATTCATAAAGTCTTCATAAACATTATGGTGGTGGGAATGTGATTGAAGTCAAGATGCCAGATCAGGGCCAATAATATTGCTGATTTTTCTTTGAATTTTGTCAAAGAGCTGTAGATAAATAGCAGAAGCACTGAACCATATATGGCAGCAATATTCCAATCATGGATGAATGGTAAACTTATAGATATGTAAGATAGATTCTGAATAGGAAAATTGTCACAGTTAACCAACTCTCTTCACTATTTCCTGTAAGGACATTGTATTTTTTTAAAGAAACATTCAACTGAGGCAAACTCAACTATGTTCTGTGCCCTTGACACTTGGTAATAAAAATAGTAGCAACCATTTTGGCAACTTTCATTAAATCTACCCTTTAAATAGATTTTTTGCTGAGTCACTGTTTTACATTTGCCAACTTGAAGAACAAAATGAATGCCAAGAATAAGAATAGATTAAAAACATGTCCTTCATGAACCAAGGTAATTTATTTTGGACAATCCAAATATATTCAAAACATGACAGTATTTATTGTTTTTACAAGATTTAGACATCCTGGATATGATGATAAACTACATTTAACTTAAATTCTGTGATCTGAGAACACTATCACGTCTACCTAGAAGATTACTGCCCTTTTCTTCAACATGCCAGAACTCTCCTTCTTCAACAAAAATAGAAGCGCTCACTTTGACAGCCATCATTCAAATGATGCAAACTTTCTTAATTTTAAGACAGCTTTCTACACCTAAATCTGTGGCAAAAAAAGGAAAAGGTTAAAATGTCATAAAAACATTTTCTGACCAATCAGAAATGATACACAGATCTCCAATCAATCGTTTGTTTTCAAACCAACTCTAATGCTATATAAACCATCATCATTTCAACATCACAACAAAAGGCTCATTGATTACATAGTCCAGTAAGAGTTAAAATATTAAATTCAACAGCCTCATCCTATATTAAATTATTTATTTCAAAATCTAATGAAGTTGTTTATTATTATTTAAGATTATTAGAATTATATTTGACCAAAATGTTGTGATAACAACAACAAAGATGAGGACAATAGTCGACATGAAAATAATGATAAATTCTCACTCCAGAAATTCGGATAATACTTTATCATTGTTTAATATTATTAAGTCATTACTAGGTCATATTATTATTATTATTATACTAAATAAAAATAGCCTAACATTTTAATAATATTAAATAATAACCTAACCTCATATTATTAAACAGTAATAGCCTAATAATATTTAATTTAATTACTTTGTCAGGCTATTTTTGTCAGGTGTTATTAGGTCATTCTTACTTAATATTATTAGGTTATTATTTGGTTATTACTATTTAATATTATCAAAATTATTGTTAAGTTATTCTTATTGAATATTATGAGTTTATTATTGTCAGGTCATTATTAGGTGATCATTTTAATGTTAATTTGTTCTTACTATTTAATAATATGAGGTTATTATTATTTAACATTATTAAAATCATTCTCATGTTATTTTTATACAATATTAGGTTATTATTAATTAATATTATTAGAATATTATTAGATTATTATTTATTATTATAAGGTTGTCATAATTTTATATTATTATTAGATTATTTTTATTATTAATTTCCATGATGACAAAAAGTAATCATGCAAACTCATAAAGGAAATTTTCTCTTTCAACCAAAGTATGTTATTATGTATACATAATAATAATAATAATAATAATTCAAGATATTGCAAATTCTAAAGATAATAAAAACTTTAATTTTATAATTACCTGTTTTGCCAGTGGGGCTGAGAATTTGTTGACTTTATTCACTGCAGAGGAGAAATCCCTACCACATAAAAGACCATCAACTAATACAAATATAAACAAACAATATTTGCCTTTCTTAAAACCAAATGCTTACAAATTCAAAATATTTACCGATCCCCATGTAACATAGCAACAACTCTAAGTAGAAGCTTATGAAGCTTTATTTGACTAATTCATCTTGAGTACTGAAAACATTTATTTTATTATAGTGGATAGTGACAAGGGAGAGTGGGGGGTAGAGATGGGATGTGCTTATTTTATTAAAACCCCTCAACCCAATAAATGCATAAAGACTCAAATGTAAGCGACCAATATTTACCTATCCCCTAACCAAGTAAATGTTTAGAGACATAAACATATGATATATGATGGTAAATATAATTGATCAATATTTACTCTTCCTGGACTAAATAAATACTTATAGACTCAAATATAAACCACCAGTATTTATATCTCTCCTAACCAAGTAAATACTTATAGACTCAAATATAAACAAATAATATTTACCTATACCATAACCAATTAAATGCTTATAGGTATAAACTACCTATATTTACTTATCCCCAATCTAAGCACCTGCTAATAACCTCAAATCTAATTTAACAACATAAGAAAGACTAGTTTCCAAATTTAACTAACCTAGCCAATGTTGCTATGTCATAATGTCATAAATGTTGCTATGTCACAATGTCATAAATGTTGCTATGTCACAATGTCATAAATGTTGCTATGTCATAATGTCATAAATGTCGCTATGTCATAATGTCATAAATGTTGCTATGTCACAATGTCTACTAGCCCAATCCAATTTGCAATTAAATATTAAAAATATGCAAAGAACATTTGTGAAAGCCAAAGTATTTTTTCATTCACTTACCCTTTTCCGAGAATGCTTATTTTCTAACGGATACCAATAAAGTCCAGGGAAATGAGACATTGTAAAACTGGAAAAAAATATACAAAAGTGGTTATAAATAAAAGAAAAGCAACCAGATTATTTCTGAAGTAATTTGATTTTAATGACTGTTTTTTATAATCTTTCATTAAATGTTCCATTTTTGATTGAAGTTTTACAACCGTCTTTTTATTAGATGTATTCTGATGAGGAATATCTTCTGTCATGACACAGTGAACCAACTTTCCTTCCAGTAAATGCAACTATTAATTCAATGTAATCTGATACATCTGAAAGCTAATCTCCAAATTCTATAATTCTAAATAAAATTAAGTATCTTGTCCTTTGAACTGCAGGAAAATGGTGAGACAGCCATAGAAAATAAACTGGGAGTCCACATGAAACTTTAAGTCACAGAAAGGCAGCAATATTTGACTATTGGTTTTTATATTTCTTATATATATATATATATATATATATATATATATATATATATATATATATATAAATTATTAAACCAGGAAATAGGGTTTTTAGCAAAGTATTTTTCCAAATAATCAGCTTATTCAAATTTCATCAATTAGTTTGCTAAATTGAACGAAATATAGACTTTGTAAATCTTGAGAAAAAAATGTTAGCGATAACTTCAACAATATTAAATACTGTAAGGATTTCAACATGTTGCAAAAAAATTCTCGTATTTAAGATATGTCAAGTTTAATTTTCATGATGAGTTAAGTAATTTTCTGAATACTTCTGTCAAATAAATAACAGGAGCTTTTTGTTTTAGTTATAATATTGGTGTGAATTACAAGCAGTTTATTATTTTAGGGGTGTGAAAATATATAATAGTACTAAAAGAGTGACTTTTTTTTTCTTTTCCTTTTTTGTTGAAAACAAAACTAAATATACCATGTTTTAATGCCATTAGTATCAAATGTTTAAATTTAAGCATGTGTGTGACAAATATCAGGAGAAAGAAAGTTACTGAAATAGGTTCCGATTTTAGTTCTGGTCATAACATATGAACAATTTCATTAGAAACAAAGAAAAGAGTACTGAACTGTTAAGTGATATCTGTCCTCCTATATGGCAGTGAATGATGGACAATCTCCCCAAAGATGAAGAAGAGACTTGAAGCAAGAGAAACAAAGAAAAGAGTACTGAACTGTTACGTGATATTTCTCCTCCTGTATGGTGGTGAATGTTGAACAATCTCCTCAAAGATATAGAAAAGACTTGAAGCAACAGAAATGTGGTTCTACAGAAAGATGCTGAGCATACTATGGACTGAACATGTGAGTAACAAGGTTTTAAAGAAAATGGAAACAAAAAGAAAACTTATACTTAACATCAGGAAGAGGCAGTTGAAATTTCTTGGGCATGTAATGAGGAAAGAGAGTTTGGAAAATTTGATACTCACAGGGCAGATTGAGGAAAAGAGGAACAGAGGAAAGCAGTGATTTGATCTCCCCAGCTATGGATAAATAGCAGGACAGATTGGATGGCAACTGGTCTGTCACAGAAAGAAATGGCAGCCTACTGAGGGAAAAAAAATCTGCCTCGTCAGTCATGTATTGAAAAATACATGATTGCCTAAGTGTGTATCACACATGGCACATAACTGACTGACCTCTCTTCTTAATAGTATATTTTTCTCATATTCACTAACATTCTTGTGTCTTAGTGGTTTTATTGCCTTACTTGGGTTGAAATGATTAAAATAAAAAAGAAAATGTTCTAGTTATAAGCTACCATGATTTATTTATTTGAACCACTTTTGACCTCCAGACATGTATCATTCCCTTTTTGAACCCCTGACCCCCATCCCCCGCCCCCGTCCCCCCCCTGCATTTATTAAACCCCTGGATAGTCCCACAGCTACCCTGAGGCCAATATTGACTACTTTGGATTCTCTGGACTGGATTTATTTGAGCCACTCCTTTGCATAATAGAACAAAGGAGATTTTTTTACACTACTTCCAAATTTAATTAATTTTCCAAAGTCTGTTTTTCTTCTTGGCTTCCTTTTGTGTTCTTGTGTTCATGCAAATACTTAACCTTTGTTGATGCTCCAAAAATCTAAACTACAAGTCTGAAAAATAGCTATTTTCAAAGCTTGCTAAATACTAAACAAAAATGGAAATGTCTGCCAATAGACACGCACACGCACACCTCCATTTTTCACTCTGCTAAACATGAAAGAATGAAATCTATCAGAGCAAAAGAAGTTAAAATAAAAATAAACATTTCTGTCATTATGGGAGACACTCAGTGATAAACCATTAGACAAAAGGTCTCCTATTTTAAATCCTTATCCTTCTGGCATCAGTTTAAACTGACACCTTTTTTTTTCCATATATTGCAACTATTTTGCTTAAGGTTCATATTTTCTTGGTTTCAGATAAAAACTCAGAAATGTTCCAATATATTTCAGAAAAATTTTCATTTTCTAAAATAATATTTTAGAATTATAACTACCTGCTATGTGTCACACATTTTTTGTAAGAAAATTATAATTGATTTTAAATCATTGTTATAATTTGTAGAGAAAAATAATGCATTTCAATATTACTCAGTGATCTTGCCAATGTCACCTCCATCTTCTGGCTTTCTCCTTCTATATTTTGTATAGGAGTTATTCCCTTGTTCAAATTTAAATATAATTTAAATGAAAGGGAAAAAAATTCAGTGGGAGGTTTGCTTGTTTGGACCCCTCTTTAATCAAAATGAAATATACTTATCCAAGTACCCTGGGTAATTGAGTTTCAGAATATTTATGATTATTGGGGTCTATTTCCAAAACCCTAGGAGAAGTTTGATAACAGACTGACAGATATATATATATATAGATAGATGAAGCCTGCTTTATGGTGATTTATTTTATTTGTTATGTTGTTTTACTAGCATTAATAAAGTTTTGTACCTTCCCAGAGACTATTTCTTCTGATATACATACAGGGTGTGATGAATAAATTGTCATCTAAATTATGCAAAAATGAAAATAACAGACATCTCATTTTAACAGATATATTTACCAAAATTATACAAGAATATCTTGAAATACTAAAAAGTAAATTTATTCAATAAAATTGCCATTGGCTTCAACCCCGGCCTCCAGATGACTTCAGAATCTCCTGCAACTCATCTGGACAGTCTCCTTGATTAAGTTGGTGAATGCTGCCATAATCCTTGCCTTCAGTTCATTTTTGGTGCTACAAGGAGTTTTGTTGGTCTCTCACTCAACTGTACCCCATACATAATAATCAAAGGGGCTGCAGTTTGGGGAGTTAGGTGGCCTGATTAAGGGGTGATGTGGTCGCAGAAATTCTCTGACAGGCATGACTGGGTTCTCCTGCTTGTATGGCATGATGCTGAGTCCTTTTGCCAGACATAGGTTCTTCCAGCAGCCACCCAGGACAGCACTACCTCCTCAAGTCACTATGTAGGCCTCCATGTTGAGTCTGAGGCCCTGTGAGAAGATAAATGGAGGTATAACATTGCCATCACTAGCGATCACTTCAAATACCTTCATAATTGCCATTAAACTCATCCAACTCTTTCTGAATCCTCTGCATCATCCTCAGATTGACATCTAAACACTCTGTATTGTATTAGACCTTCTGGCAAGTACAGAATGCAGTTTCCAAATTTCTGGCAGAGTGAATTGTGTCATGGTTGTATAATGGTTGGTTTCCCTTACCATTCCAGAAAGTACCTGACTCCTTCTGCTATCTTCTACCTTTACAAGAACCAGACAAGGCCAAAAATAGAGTATTGCTGCTATATACTGCCAGGAGCTACACAGTCTTCACTTTCCTGTTTTGAAAGAACTCCAAAAACATCTGTGAGTCCTTGTGGGTGCTGAATTATTTTCCACTCTACAATTTCTTTCTCACAGATGAAATATCGCAAACCTCTCACTACTCTATCGTCTATTTCCATGGAAAGTGTTCAGGCAAACTGCATTTTTTAGTTCCACCAGTTCTAACCTTCACAGATAAGACCCACCCTGCCACACCCATTGCAGCAAACAACCCTAATTCTCTTCATATTACATTAGCGAGATGTAAGTTCCACTTGAGCAGCTTCTTCCCACAAACTGCTACTTAGTGGAACTGACTCCCAAGAGGATGCTTTCCTGACCACTACACTCTTAACCTGTTCAAGTCTAGGGTTAATTGTTATCTTTCCTACATATCTGCTGTGCCTCTTACTCTGTAACCCTCTGCCTTGAGTGGCTCTGGGGCTTTGTACAGGATGAACATTATTATGAAAAAAAAGTAAGTTCCGCTTTACTCAGTAGAGAATGAATATAAATAAAGAAGAAAGTTGATTTTATTTTTCTATTTCTGTATAAAACACAAGAAACAGAAATGAAGCATGAAACAGATTGAAACATGGAACATTCTTTGGTATTGCTTATTCTACTTACCAAATGAATTTGTATTTCTCTTGAAAGAAAGAATATTCTGGCTTTGGAATTGGTTACCAGAGAAAGTCTAAAAATTATAAGATCAATATTATTGTTCATACAGTTCATTGCTTTCATTTCAAGACTGAATGAATTCTCCTGAGAGTCAATGGTATAATTGTCAGATGTCTTTTAAGAATGCATTTGAAACAGCTTTCTTCATGATTTAACTCCCAATAAAACTTATATGCACATATTAAATACATCATATGTACTTCAAGATACTGCCTCCTGTGGTGAATGATATTTTATTTCAGGAGACCTTATCTGCAAGTGCATATGAAGTATTTAATAATGTCACACACACACACACACACACACATACATACATACATACATATATATATATATATATATATATATATATATACCAAGTATATAATTGGTATATACAGAATGAATTCAATAACCAACAATTACTATTCTTAAAGGAGTACTCAATACAAAGTAGAGCAAATATAATTATTATTTATAAAAAAAAAAATTATAGCATAAGTATTTATAAAATCAACCAACAAAAATAGCCATTTTGTTTGGTTTTTGATTGGTTATTCAGTTTCTTATCAAGTGTTGAT